TAAACTATCTGCCTCCACTAAGGCTCAGTTTGAATATTTTTAGAAATCTAAGCTTGCCCATGACCTTCTTCTGAACAAGGCAAAGCTGGTTTAGTGCTAGTAGCTCTGGAACTTCTCATTGCTCAGAGAAGTGGGATGAGTGCAGCGGTATTATCCCCATTTCACAGACAGACACTGAGGCTGAGAAATATATGGCTTAAGGACACTAGTGAGTAGGCAGTTGGGATGGAGCATGAACTGAGGCTTCTGTGGCCCTGAAATAACTCTCTTAACATCAGTATTCACCTGTTTCTGCTCACCAAGTGTCAATAGAGACCCTTGAGTCTAGCTAGTAAGAAATGTGGAAGTGGGCACTGGGTTCTTGTTTCCAACAGTGGCCTGGAAGAGTCCCCAAGAAATCTACAAGGGAGTTGAAGGCAATAACCTCCATTACTGCCACCTGCTCCTTAAATCCCACCTGGCTAGCTAAGGCTGTCTGGGTGACATGTGGTTAGGTTCTGGCAGTGGTTAATTCATCTTTGAGAGAGGGGTTTGTCCCTTCACCTCTTAAAGAGACGTTGGTTCACCCCCTCCTCAAGAAACCATCACTGGATCCCAACATACCAATTTCCGTCCAGTGTCCAACCTCCCTTTTTTAGGGAAGGTTGTGGAGAAGGTGGTCACGCAGCAGCTTCAGCAATCCCTGGATGAAGTGGATTATCTGGACTCCTTTCAGTGAGGTTTCAGGCCTGGACGTGGGATGGAAATGGCATTGGTCATGCTTTTGGGGACCATCTGGGGGAGCAGGATGGGGGTAATGCATCCATCCTGGCTCTATTTGATCTCTCAGCAGCTTTCGATACCATCAACCATGGTATCTGTAATGGTATGTGGGCAAGACCTTGGGAAACAGGGTGAAGAGATGCTGCCTAGGTCAGATAAGAGACAGCATAGCCTGCAGCTGGATAGTAGGCAGAGAAAGAGGCTCAGAAGGGGCCCTTCCTAGTTTCTCGAGCTGTAAAGGAGATGGTGGGAGAATTTACTTTCAGACTTGCAAGATTCTGTTAATGTAGCTTTACAATAAAGTAGAATTAACTTATCTAGTTGTGTTTCCTGTCTGGTCTACCTGGTAGGGCTGACAGTATCCTTCTGGATTGGCTCTGGGGATTGGGAGTGGGCAGCACAGTACTGTGCTGGTTCTCTTCCTTCCTAAGGGGTCGATACCAGTTGGTGTTGGTCTGGAATGAGAGATCCCACCCTATGTGGGGTGCCACAGTGTTCAGTGCTCTCTCCACTCCTGTTTAACATCTACATGAAACCGTTGGGGAAGATTATCCGTTGCCATGGGGTGTGGTATCATTAGTATGCTGATGATACTCAATTATATCTCTCCACCCCTGGCAAATTAAGCAATGCTGTGGAAGTTCTGTCTCGATGCCTGGAGTCTGTAGGGGTCTGGATGGGGAATGACAGGCTTCAACTGAACCCTGGTAAGATGGAGTGGCTTTGGGTTTTAGGGTCTACCCAATCCAGAACTTTAGCATCTTTGGTTCTGGACTGGGTGGCACTGCCCCAAATGGACCCACTGCACAATCTGGGAGTCCTTCTGGACTCATGACTCCTGCTGGAGGAGCAAGTGGCAGTCGTGGCTAAGAGCGTCTTTGCATGGCTTTGTGTTGTGCCCATTCCTGGATCATGAGACTCTACTCACAGTTACTCATGCTCTGGTCACCTCCTGAATGGACAACTCTAATGTGCTCTACATGGGGCTGCCCTTGAAGAGCATCTGGAAGCTTCAACTGGTGCAAAATGTGGCAGTGCAGGCAGTTGTGTGTGTCCCTAGAATGGCGCACATTACACCTCTGCTCCACAAGCTGCATTGGTTGCCAGTTTGCTTCTGGGTCCAATTCAAGGTGCTGGTTTTGACCTTTAAAGCCCTACATGGCCTGGGGCCAGGTTATCTGAGGGACCACCTCTGCCTATTACATCTACCCATCCCATTAGGTCTGGCAGGAGAGGCATGTTGCGGGTCCCATCTATAAAAGAGTTTCATCTGATGGGACCTAGGAGGTGAGCCTTTTCTGCCATGGCACATACCCTTTGGAACATCATTCCCTCCTGAGGTGAGGTTAGCCCCAACCCTCATGGCCTTCCAGAAAGCTCTCAAAACCTGTTTTTTTCAGCAAGCCTGGATATGCCTTGGTAATAGGGAGCATGTTGGTTATATTGTATGTAACATTTTCCCTCTCATGATCTTGTTTTATCTATGCTTATTGGATTCTTTAGTAATTTTTATTGAACATTACAATTAAAAAGATAAGAACTAATACAAACTAAAAAAAAAGAATAAAACAAAAAAAATAGAAAGTGCAGAAAAGAAAGAAAAAAATATATAAAGAAATAACTTCCCCCTTCATCACAAGGATAAACAATTTTAGTAACTTATCACCTCCCCTTAAAATACAACAAATGATCTCTTCTCCCCATATCTCATCTCTTATCTATAAACAAATCTTTAAAGCCTCATTCAGTCCTGGTTAGCAAAAGTCCATTAAAGGTTACCAGAGATAACAACATATCTGTTTTAACAATCTTGATCTTTTTATACTCCTTCCTTTTATTTTTAACAGTCTTGATCCTTAATCCCCTCAAATAATGTCCTAGAACTTGATTTTTTCCCCATTTTTTCTTTGTCCCTTCTTACAAAATTCTTCAAAACTTTAACAAGTCTCTTCTGTAAATCCAATATAAGAAAGTCACTCTTTTGGTATGATAAGACATCAACCAGTTTCATTTGTATATCCAGTGTAGCATCTCCTTCCATAGCCTGTCATTTTTAAATCCACTTTCAAATCAGTCTCAGTCCTATCTGGTAAAGCTTGGTCCTCTTCCATATTATTTTCCAAACACAGCCTATCTATAATGGCAGACATTTTTAAAATTAATTTCTGGGTCCATTGTTCACAAATATCCTTCAATACATCCAGCGTTAAAGTATTTTGCTCCATTCTGTATTAGTAAACCAAATTTAAGTGCTCTTCTCCTTTAATTGTACTTTTTAGTTCCTTCTGGTTCCGTCTAGTGTCCAACGTTCAAAATCCTATCTGATCATATATCTTTTTTAAGTATTCAAAACAACAGTATTTTCCCATGGGAAGGATTCTTATAATGAATTTCAAAATCTTATTTCAAATCCATCTGGACCGTTAGTTTGTAACTTTCCAAAATCAATGTTCTAATCACCCTTTTGCTGTTTATTGCCCCCTCCAAAGAATGTTTTAGGCCCTTAACTTGTATAAAACTTCTTTCTCTAAGGATTGAAAGAAACTTATCCAGTGTAGTAAAACTTGCCGTTATGAAGGTCCCTAATATCTAAAAGCAGTTAACAAGCAATTTCCAAAGATGATTGAGAAAGGAAGTATGCAAACCCAGTGTCCTTACTGAAGGCGCCAAAGCACGGTTTGGGCTATGATGGTGTTCCCTCATCTCCCAGAGTTCTAAACCCACCAGAGACTGCTGTTTGTGGTCTTCTCACAAGGAGCAACTGTTTGCAAGCACTTGTCCGGAGAGGAATCTCAAAGAGTTGATCCATTCACCGGCTCTTCATTCCACCACAGTTGTTGGCTCCACTCCTAGCAGATCCATCTTCAGTTCTCCATTTCTTCCCCGGAAATCCATCTATGCTTATTGTTTTAATGGATATGTAAAATGTTTTTATTGTACACCAACCCAGAGTCACTTTGGGTGAGATGGGTGGCCATATAAATTTGACAATAAATAAATAAACAAACAAACAAATAAATAAATAAATAGTCCCCGGTATTTCAGACCACTGGTGGCTTTATATGCAGAACACACCATTTGGTGCCTTCTCTTGTAATTCTTCAGTAAAAATCAGTGTTCATGTCTGCAACCAAAATATATTCGAAAATTAAATATCTCCAATTATTTTGCACGCCCACAAAAAGTGGCCATGTGTCCATTTGTTTTAAGTTGCCCTATAATTGGAGAACTTTTGGGTCCAGTCCAAACACAATGAAAAGATTCAGAACAATCACCAGAGGGAATCTAGGCCTTGGAGGTGCCCTCACACAGTTAGCATCACCTGACTGATAACTAGCAGAGATCCACAAACTGCCTTGCCACAGACTTCCACACTGGAATGAGAGGCATTCTAAATTACTAGACTTATAATTATAATTATTTATTTCCAAATGTACATTTATATATACAGTTAGCCTATGTGAAAGTTCAACAGATCTGTGTACTCTTCAATTCCCTTTCATGGTTGTCCCTTGATAAGACAATGGCAGCTGTTCTAAACATAATTAATTTTCTATTATCTTAAAAAAAGGCTAATACAACAAAAATGTTTAGTATATATTGGATGCCTCAGAGAATGGTTCATAAGGCTTGGTTGCAATGAGTCTGCTATTAGAGATGCAACTCAAGAATTGAATGTTAACTTATACAACTTGGTCTTGTCCTATCATTGTCACATTTTAAGATTACATCACCAGGATAGCTAATTGACTTTGGGGCCCAACCCTTTAGATCAGTGCTTCTCAAACTTGGCAGCTTTATGATGTGTGGACTTCAACTCCCAGAATTCCCCAATCCACACCTCTTAAAGTTGCCAAGTTTGAGGAACACTGCTTTAGATGATGTCTAAGTGTCTACCCAAGGCATAGACCTAATGAAAAATATGTGTATTTTATGCTATGTTTCATCAGATTGGTATGCACTGATTGGTCAGAGTTCAGTCCTAATCTGCTCATAAAGACAGGGCGAAAGGTTTACTTGAGAATTTTTCTTCCTGCAACAAAGCAAAGCAAAGCAAAGCAAAGCAAGAGAGAGGGGATTTAAAGAAAACCCAATTTTTAGAAACATAGGCAGAGAAGCACAGAGGAAGATTAATTTAAGAGAACCTAGAGAAAGGGAAATTTTGGAAGAGGGAACTTCATGGAATTGCTTCTGAAGGCAGATGCCACACTTACTTAAATCCGGGGCTGCTGCTAGGCATGATCTTAGAAGTTGTCTTTGCTTATGGAATGGGCTTCCAATGCCAGCTCTGGGATCCAGCAACTAGGAAGAGCTCTTGGTTGACAAAGGTGAGGGACAATATTGCAGAAGCAGTGGATTAACATGGCTATGAATGGAACTGGTGCCACTAGTCAGGGACACCCTGACTTACTCTAAATAGGAAGGAAAATATTACCTTCCAAAGAACCACTTTTCTTCAGGCCACCTCAATGAATGATCAACCTGGCTTCCTATAGCAGCGTATAAGTAGCATAAACGGATAAACATCTCCATGGTAAATTGCTTCTCCAGGGACTATACCCTAGCCCCTCATTCTGCCTCCTTGCAGACAGCCCCTCCGCTCCTGTCAACGTCACAGTCAAGCTCTTGAAGGCCAACTCAGCTGTTGTCACCTGGGATGTTTTGGAAGAAGAAGTGGTCATCGGATTTGCTATTTCCCAGCAGGTAAGCCTCCTGCCAGGCTCAGTTTCTTACTTTCTTCATCATTCTTGGGTTCTCAGGATGAATTCAGATATTACCATAGCTGCCAACACCAACACCCCCCCCACCCAATCTAAAGGACAAGGAAGATATATCAAGAAATCCCAGATTTCTAATTTTTCACCCCACACCTTGGATAGAACAGGTTGAAGTAGTTCTTGTTAGGTCTGGAGAGCAATATATGGACATTTTCCCAACCTACAACTCTGATTTGGTTCCTATCTTCCACTCACTGGGACCTTGCTCTTGGGGTTTTGTTTTTTAGATGTAGGGGAAGTATAATAAATATGCTGCTCTCTTCTCCCCAAAGAATGAAGCCTTCAGGAGAGACAGAAGAACGTCTCTCCAAAGGGTTCCAGGTTTTGTCTTCACTATAGGACTGAAAACTGGTACAGGCCTGTCTTGAGCTGGTTAATATCTGAAGGACCAAAGTACCTTTCTCTTTGGAAAGAGAAAGAAATCTACTATCTGTCTCCCTATCTGCATGTCCACCCCGTCCCTTCTTGTGCAAGGAAATCTCTTTCTGCATGGTCAGTATTTAGAACGCTTCTTCCCAGTCTTGTTCTTCTCAGCTTTGCATCTATTTGGAGCCCTTTTTGTCCAAGCCTAATGAAGGAAAGAGCAAGCTGTGGTTCACAGGGCTGAGAGGAAGAGAGGAGAGGCCCCTCTTCATATGACCTTTGGGGCACCCTATGCCACCCCCTTCTTGCATCATTAATGTTCTTTGTTCCTGCTGCAGTTCCTTCAGGGCTGTTCACAGTGGGGTAACTGCTGATTGGAGTGTTTAATCAGGGCTTCGTTTGAAGCACGTGTGGAGAGAGGAGTGGAAGGTCATTCCTTTTGGAGAGGAATGTGCTGTTCATTTCCCCAGAGCCTTTCTCTCATCAAGTCTGTACCCTTGGCCTGGGGACAGATTTCAGGAGTACAACCTCTAGGGAGAGGCAAGAGGGGAGAATGAGCAGGCCCTTGGCTCAAAAGCTTGACCTCTTCTTTCTGGCTCCGTACACAGGATTGGGAGAAGCCCAATTCTCTCCAACGAATGTGTGCCCTTTGAATTTGGATGTGAAGGCAACAGGTCATTGGTTGAAAATCACTTATGCCCTTTGGACAACATGCTTGTCACCCTTCTCTCTGCAGAAGAAGGATGTACGAATGCTGCGCTTCATCCAGGAAGTGAACACCACCACCCGCTCGTGCTCCCTCTGGGACTTAGAGGAAGACACCGAGTACATTGTGCATGTGCAGTCCATCAGCATCCAAGGCCAGAGTCCAGCCAGCGAGCCAGTCCATTTCAAGACCCCACGGGAAGCAGAGAAATTGGCTTCAAAGAACAAAGGCAAGCTGGAAGGGGTGGCCCAGAGGCTGAGGTAGAGCAGGTTTTGGAAGGGGGGCCAGGCTGGCAAAGTTGTGGTCAACCAAGAGGAAGCCAGATGAGCCTCAGCTGCCCCATTTGGCCAGACCTGTGCAACCTTTTGGAAGCCAAGGGCCATCCTTGGTCTTTGAGTAGTGTGCCAGTCCCTTCCCCCATCAAAACAAAGATGGAAACTAAATTTAATTTAGTTTACAATTAATTTTAGTGGTTAAGATGCTGGCCTAGAAACCAGGAGACTGTGAGTTCTATACCACCCTTTGGCATGAAAGCTGGCTGGGTGACTTTGGGCCAGTCACTCTCTCTCAGCCCAACTCACAGGGTTGTTGTGGGGAAAAGAGGAGGCAGGAGTATTAGATATGTTCGCTACCCTGAGTTGTGTGTGTGTGATAAAAATACAACAATTCTATTTGCATTTCCATTTAACTACAGTTCAATTTAGTAAACCCAGTAATTTAACCCAGTTAAATTAAATAAATCCACTGCATGTCTCATAATTTTACTCTTATATCACATTCGAAATTGGAATTTAAGTCCAACATTTGGAGTGATTCGGGGGGAGGGCTTAGATTCTGCCCCCAACTTTCAGTGGAGAAGGTTGTAGGCAGACAGATCAATTCCTACCTACTTCAAAAAAAGGAAACTCACCCATGGAACTTTTTTTCAGTCCTTTAAATTCTGCTGGCACAGGAAAGACAAATAGAAATCTCGTTTCAGTTCAGCCGAGAAACAGGAGCAACCATAATTAACCCCCGAGAATGGGCCTTTGCAGCATATGCCGCACAACTGGCCCTCCTGCTCTGAATCTATTAACCTTGCTGGTATGGCTTGCCAGGGGCTTATGGGCCCTCCTGGTTTCCTTCCTCAAAGTTTATCAAGCACCTGTTGCATATCAACCTTATTGCATTTGGCCTGGGGCTCAGCATCACTGTGACAGCCTGTGCAGGCAAGGGCCAGATGGCACACCTGTGACGCTGCCAGCCTGCTAAGAGGGATTTGGTGGTTTGGAGGGCAGGGGAGGAGGGAGATGGAGCAGAGTGACTGGGAGAAGCAGATCAGGCACTCAGGAATGCACAATGGGGCCCTTGTGTCAAGTGCAGAAGAGAGCATTGGGGCAAATGTGGTGTGTCATAAATGTGCAGGAAAAGCTGCTGCTGCTGCTGCTGCTGCTGCTGCTGCTGCTGCTGCTGCTGCTGCTGCTAAAATTCCCCCTCCTCTGCCTCCATCTGTAGACTCATCTCCCGAGAGAGAAAAGATGCTGGGGAAGAGGAATGAGTCATGGGCAGTTGAAGAAAGGGGCAGCCTGTTCTTTGGGAACCACAGAGCAAACTGCAAATGTCTCCTTTTCTACCTTGCAGAAAAGATAGGGACTGTCCAGCACAGAATTTCCAAAGGGGTATTTTTAAACCTCAAGAGCCAGTTCAGTGTGGTGGTTAAAGGCATCAGGCTAGAAAGTGGGAGACCGTGATTTCTAGTCCTGCCTGAGGCATGAAGCCAGCTGAGTGACCTTGGGTCAGTCCCTCTCTCACTGCCCTAGGAAGGAGGAGGCCAGGGCACAAATCACATCTGAAATCTTGTCAAGAAAACTGCAGGGGCTTGTTCAGGCAGTTGTCAGGAGTCAAGACTGACTCAAAGACACACAATAAATAAATTTTTAGACACAGAGGCAAAGCTGGTCCCAAATATATTCCAACTAAACTGTGCCTTTCTCAATGGTTTTTATGCCTCAGATGCACACAAATCAGTCCTTCCTGATGCTTTGGGCCAGGAGGTATCACAATTGCCCTGTTGCTGACTATTTCAAGGCCAAAAGATACGTCATTCCCAAATCCCCCACAATCTTTTCCTTCTATTGTAGTTGTAATACTCAGAGTATAGTATCTAAAAAGATCCTTTGTGCATGACACATTTTAGAAGAAAAAATTAACTGCAAGTTTGATTCATAAAACATTTAATGGTGTAATAAAAGAGTAGAAGAAAGTGCAAGCTTCACCTCTCATTCTAAGTGGCTTCTTAGCAACAGCTATATTGTGGCTCCTGCCACAGAAATGGCCCTACAAGGGGTCATTGCCTTCCCCAATTGGATGCTCTCCAGATGTGGCCCTCATAATTCCCTGCCAGGTAAATAATTATGGACACTGTAGACTTGTGCATGACCTGAATGGCTGATATACCACCAGGAGAACACCAAGCTCAAAGATGAACATCTCTGAAGCATCTCCCTCACTCCCTAGATAGAGTGCATCCACAAACCTCCTGCAACTTCCATGGGAGATTTTGAGGCCTACACTCATTTCTCATGGCAGCCCTTGGCTCAGCCCTTGTTTAGGGGAGACAAAATCCCTGAGGGTAGCTAACCTTCTCCCCCTACCCCTGCTTCCTTCCTTTCTGTGCAGATGAAGTAACAATGAAGGAAATGGGAGAAAAAAATCAGCAGCTGCGAGCCGGGGAAATCCTGATCATCGTGGTCGTCTTGTTCATGTGGGCAGGTTGGTAGGAGTCCCTGCATGCATGCAAAAGGCCAGGCGGAGGGTCTCCCATTCTCAGCTGGAGGCTGCTGGGCACAGTCTGGTCCTGAGGATAGAGATGTGCAGATGTGATTGCCACTCACTGGCTGTTGAAACAGTTTAGAAAAAGTTCTGCATGCTCTTGGGTTCCAAGGAAGCAGAGAAGAGCATAGCAGGGAGCTAGTGATCTCATGAAAAATATTATTTTTCACAAATGTGAAGCACTTGTTGAATATCAACAAAAGGTTTACTGCACAAAATGGGCAGAGGAAGGGATCCAGATAATGATAACATGGTGCTGACTGCTGGATTCACCTTTGTGCATTCAGAAAGTACTAGACAGACCCAGTGGACAATTTGGGGGTCCTTCTAGACTCATGACTCCTACTCGAGGAGCAGGTGGCAGTCGTGGCTAGGAGGGCCTTTGCACAGCTTCATGGTGTGCACCAGTTGCATCCCTTCCTGGACCTTGAGGATTCAGTCACTCATGCTCTGGTCACCTCCAGAATGGATAACTGTAACATGCTCTACTTGGGGCTGCCCTTGAAGAGCATCCAGAAGCTTCAGCTGGTGCAGAATGTGGCTGCGTGGACAGTTATGTGTGCCCCTAGGAGGGTGAACATTACATCTCTGTCTGTGAGCTGCATTGGCTGCCAATTTGCTTCTGGGTCTAATTCAAGGTGCTGGTTTTGACCTCTAAAGCCCTACATGGCATGGGACCAGGTTATTTGAGGGACTGCCTCTCCCCAGTAACCTCTACCCATAATACCAGGTCAGGCAGGAGGGGTATGCTGCAGCTCCCATCCCCAAAGGAGCTCCATCTGGCGGGACCCAGGTAGCATGCCTTTTCTGCTGTGGCCCCCGCCCTCTGGAACATCATCCCTCCCAGGTGAAGTTAGTCCCATCTCTGTTAGCCTTCCGGAAGGCCCTTAAAACATGTTTTTTCATCAGTCATGGGGATCCCAGGGGGAGTCTGCAAGGTGGCTATATGAGGTCAAGTGAGTGTTGCTTTCCTGCAATCTTGGGTTTTTAATATTTTATGTATGTTTGACTGTTTTTAGGTTGTTACGTAGCTTTTAATTGTTGCTATGTTTGTACGCCGCCCAGAGTCACATCTTTGTAATTTTTATTGAAGAGGTTTTTCACAAAGTTAAAAGATAAACATGAAACAATATAGAAAAAAGTAAAAAAGAAAGATAAAGGAAAAAGGGTTGAAAACAATAGAAAGCAAAGAGAAAGAGAAAGAAAACAAACAGAAAAAATACTTACAGTAAAGAAGCCACTTCTGATCTTCTTCACAGCAGTTACAGACATACTTGAAACTGTTTACCCCCTTCTAAATTACGCAACGATTCCCTTCAATTGCAGTTGTTGTGTTTTCTTATTTTTAGTTTTCTGTCTACAAATGTATACACTGCTGAAATATTGTCCCTGTGCATTGGTACAGTTTTCTTGTAAAAGAAATCAAACATTTCTGTCCATCCAGCCCTTGGAGAAGAAGCTCTCTCCCTCTTTTCCACCCTATCTCACTTCACCAACTCTGTAATTAATTGCAATCTAACATTACCAGCAAACAGTCTGTAACATCCACCAAAGCCTCTCTGCTTTGTTTTATCGGCAGCATGCCACTTTCCTTAACGGGATCCTACAAGTAAAAGTATGAAACATGGTGCTCAACTATGCAAGAAGCTACAAATGCTGAACTGATAAAAGCAGTGGCGGGGGGGCGGGGGAATCATTTGTAAGGAAAAATTGTGTCAGGAAGATTTGTTGGAGTTTGCTTTATGTGTTCCATGAGTTTCAGACCAATCCTAGAGAAAGTCTGTAGAGATCTGCCCCTAGCAGCAAAAGGCTGCTTTAGTGGCTTTCACAAGTAATAATTAGAAGTCAATACTATATATCATCTCAGCCTGCAGTATAATAATTATTAGTCGTTTTATGGATCATGGAGAAAATCTATCTATATGGCTGCTAAGAGTCAACACCAACTTGATGGCACATAATCAACCAATCATGGAATTATTACGAGCTAAAAATGATTTGAATACTCCAAGGTGTTATAGAGATGCTATTCACAATAATATTCACAAATGTTCAGCTCGGTGATTTTGACGCGGCCAGTTATTTTTCTCCCCTATTGCAAAGTCTGAGGAAGAGAGCCTGTCCAAAGCCAAAAGAAACGTGAGGTCATGGCAGGGAGGAGGCCAGGCATTTGGTCTTTGAGGGCAGAGTGCTCTCCCTGTAACAGGTCTTGGCTACCCAGAGTTTATCTGTTTCTGGCATTTTAACAAGTTCTGGGGGCTGAGACTCCAGCCTCTTCTGCTCTGTCTTCTGCTCTAGTTTCCCAGCCTGGCCAGGATCTGCCAAGCATGATTTAGTGGGACATAAAGCTTCACCTTGTTTGCTTTTTGGGTTTCATCTCAGCCAAGGTCCCTGGCTCCGTTTGACAGCTGCTTTTGTCCCTTTACAAAATATAACATTTGTAAAAGCAAAAACACTCTGAGAGGTTAGCAATTCACTTAACTGCTTAGGTGAAATAAGCATACCTAAAAACTGTGTAATTCACATCCTGCTGGGGTAGGGAGAGGATCACTCCCTTCTTCTTTCTTTTTCTTCCTCCAGCTGAAGAACATTCCACTTTGTTTTTCTGCTACATACATAGACTTATTTATATGAATGTGAGAAAAACCAACCCGGTGAATGAACTTTACAGTTAAGATGAGAAGAGAGATACAAGGAGTCCCCAGTTTAAGAATGAGTTCCGTTCCCAAGGTCTGTCCTTAAGCCAAATTTGTATGTAAACCGGAACAGTATTATTGTATAATACTGTACAAGTAAGTTTTGTGTAATTAATTCAAACCATTCTGTATTTAACTTGAATAATTGTGTATTTAACTCAAATTTTGCTACAATAGGCTCTGTTCTTAACTATGGGTCATCCTTAAACTGGGCGTTCTTAACCCGGGGACTACCTGTATAACCTTCTGTGGTGCAAAACAAAAGCTACTGAAAAACTAGAATAGCCAACCATATGCAAATTTATTGCTTTAAATGTTGATTATTCTCTGAGACTTAGCAGAAGTAATAAATCTTTGGTTTATTCATCCACCTCACACAAACATATCCATCATGATCACTAGACAAGGTCATTTGCTGGGCAAGTCTGCAAACAAGCTGTTTTCTGTTCAGACATGTATTCTCTCTGATTCTTTCCAACAAGGGCACTACTCCATTTCAGAGGAGTTGTAAAGATTTATTTGCTTTGTACTATGACAGCTAACTTGCTAGTTTTGTATACTGACAGGTACACACATATTGCACTAGACCAAAACGCACCATTTGTTTAAATATGGTTTATAAATAAACCACAATTGTTAGGTCCACATAATATGCTATTACATTAACCATAGCTTAGAAACATAATATTCGGATTCATATTAGAATAGTTGGATTTCCATTAAAAGTATGGTATTTTGGCATAGTCTCTGACTATATGTCTGTTTATTTTTAGAGCATCTCCACTGAATTGCTCTAGCTCTGGGGCTTGTGACGTGGTTAGCTGCTTAGTTGCTAGGATTAGGCAAAAACTTCCCACCTATCTGGGGAACAGAGCTGTCAGAAAGTCTTGTATCTGAAGACTTTTTCTTTTGATGGAAAAGAAAGCATTAAAATCTCACCTAGGCCCTACAGCTGGAGAATTAGGGAGGGTGGGGCGGTAAAACTCTAGTTAATCCCAGGAGTTAGGGCTTTCTGTATCTTTTTGCTGCCATCTAGCGGTCATTCAGATTTCTGCAGCCCAGATTCAGCAGCTCTAAGGAGGAAGGGAAATACAGAACTCAAAGTCAACCGGTCTAAAGGAAAGGTACAGAATAGGAGAATGGAAATCTTAAGTTTTTGGACTTACAACAGTAAGTAACCCAGTAACACTTCCCTTGGCACCAAACAGGCTCCATAACTCTGCCTGATTTTAATATTTTTTAAAGCACTCTACAAAACAAAACAAAACAAAACAAAACAAAACCTCTCCCCCTAGAACATCTAACCCCAAGAATATTCATAGAAGACAAACATGGCCAGCTACAGTCCAATGCTTGGCTTGGAGTCACGCTGGCCTGTACAGAAAAGAAAAAGACAAAGGTAAACCAAGGTGACATCTTGGGGCTAAAGAGAGTGGCAAGGAGCAATCTCATAGGCTTTCCTTTTGGCAAATGACTGGCCATGTCCAAACATCCAGCCATTTTGTGAGTGTGTTCATGAATATTCCTAGAATTCCAAATGTGTGTATGGGCCCAAAAGAAATTGTGGACCCCCAGCTTAAGAACAAGGTAGTGAGAGCAGCTGGAAGAAAACCCTTTGGCTGTACTGACTTGCCATTCTGGGAATTGTAATCCCAATCATTATGGAGGTTGAACACAGCAAAGATTTTTTGCGGTACTTAGGCTAATTCATATAGCATGCTGGGCTAAACTAAAGTGGGTTTGGCAATTTATGATCCAGTGTATTGCAGAATCTGCCCATTGTCATAGCGTGCAGTGTGAACAAAACAATCCTCTTAAGCAATAATATGGTTTATTTGTATGGACAGGGCATATTATAGAATAGACCAGTTGTGTTGCTGCTAACTTGGGTTTAGCATGTGGTGTGAATTCCACCCTTAAGGACAGGAAGCTAAAGTTGCTAGCCATGTATGGTAGCTTAGTCTCAGGCCTGAGACTTAATCTTTCTTAGCTGCCATGAGGACAAAGGGCAAATCGATATGGACCTTGATGGAGCATGGGATACATAGTCCAACAATCCTGCTGACATTCTTTTCTGTCAGAAATTCTTCTCTTGATTTTATGAAACATCTTTTGAACCATGATAGTCTCTATGCAGTTTCTTGTGAGACCCTGTGGGGAAAGCAGAGAAATCAACCTGGGGAGAGTTTTTCTTCCATTGTAAAACTGACTAGAAGATATTATTCAATAGATGGTATCTAGCTAAGACTGAGTTTTGAAACTGAATTGTTGTTGTTGTTC